CATCATCCCTAATTATAAATGGGAAACAAGGTTTTGCTCAGACTCAAAAAATGGTTTCACTGAAGTTCTCGCCCAGTTTTATTCATTTTTAAAAATGACACAAATGGTGGTACACTGCTTTAACACCATCCATTTTTTTCTGCAGACAGGATTGAATAGATATAAAATTATTAGAATTTCACTAAATTGCAATAGACCTCATTTCTCAAGCTTCAGTGATGCTCAGTCCACACTTACATGGCCCCTAAATATTACATTTACACAACAATGACTGATTTTGGTTTACTATCGCCTGAAAGAGAATTTGGAAGTAATAGCTAATGGATACATTTGAAGCGCAGCTCTTCACTGCTTACAGTCAGGCCTTCAGGAGGAGACTCAGTTGAGCTTTGACAGTTACTCTGTACACCAGCTCCAGCCGCATGTACAACGTACATACTATAACGTGCTTATCAAAGGTTGCTGAATATCTGGGTTTCAAATTGAATTTCCGATCTTCAAATCATCAATATTGTTTCTTTGATACCAAAATTTCGAATTTAGTAGTTAAATTTTTTTGCTTCTATTTCACTGAGGAAATTCCACATTTCTCTTTTTCAAGGATTCCCAGGGTGCGCTTGCCAGAAAGATCAGCTGCAAAGAGATGGCAATCAAGAGAAACCAGGCTAAAGCCCCTGAAGCAATTTTAGGATTAAAGGCCTTGCTCAATGGCAGAGTTCCTCCCAACATCATCTCACCAGATGCAAGTCATAATCCCAAACCCCACTGGTGGCTTTAACCAACAAATCTCTAGATGCCAGTCAAGCAACCTACCGCCATGCTACCCTTCCCCCCTAAAATTTTCAGAAATTCAGGGAACCCTATGCTCACATTGCATGAAAGTTTCCATATTGTCCATATATGCAGCCAAAGGTTAAGTCCATCAACCTCAGGCATTCAATGAAATGCAATGAATATATAGGAAATAAAAAAATGTAATTGCTTTTTTAACAGTATACACGTCCAGGCTTGTGTAACACAGGTCTCAGACCATAGAAGAGTGAATTGGTGTGAGCACTGGACGCAGCACCCTAAGCCAGAGCTGGTTCAGAATATATACAACAATGATTGTGAAATATGTACAGTATTTGCTACGGATTATGAGAATCTGCCAGGTTAGGTAGTAAATGTCATGCAAAGCCAGTTAATCAGTTTTGCACAAACCTGTGTCAGTCAACGGGTGACCAGCATTACAGAAATTCAAAAAGACCCAGTCCTCATGCATTTCTTTACTTTAATGGTTCCCAAACTCGATTATATGTATGCTTGTTTTTGTTCCATCCCCAGTTGTAATAGTAGGATTTTTACAAGCTGTCAATCTGTCCTAATAAGGTGCATTACATGTTTGCCCTCTTAAGCCACATACTGATAAAAAATATACATGTATGCCATAAAGAATAAAAATTCCATATCTACACTGTAATATATTATTTAAAAAACTGCATAGAAAGACAGAAAAATTTAAACTGACTAAATTCAATCAGTAGATTCCTAATTGGTAAAACCAATTTATTGGACGAGTCAGACCTGTTCTGTATCATATTTATTTTGTTATGTTCATGCAAATTATTTTCCAAGAACTCAAAACACTTGGGTTCGGCAACCTAATTGGGAGCTTACTGACTTTCTCAGTGTCTAATCTGATCTGTTTAAAAGTATTGTGACCTGAAAATATGTGCGATATAGAAAAATAAACAGTATGTTCAAGGATTTTTTTTACCATCAAAGGCATGCGCAGATATTACAGTCAAAATGTGGCTGAACCCCTTTGCGCAGATATAGAGGCTGGTGCCCGTAAATTCCAAAATTCAGTTCCTAAATAATTCTGTAATTGAATTTCCAAGTGTCTTGCATCACTGGAATAATTTTCCACAATCTCTGTGACACAAATACGAAGTTACAAAGCCTAAATTTGGCTCATGCACAGCAGAAAAAATTGGCATTATTTGTGTTCTGCGCAAAGGGGTTGAGGATAAATTACTGCCACAAACATGAAATGCTCCTAAATCAGACAATTTAACAGCTTGTTAAAATCCTACGAAAGCAGTCCTAATTGGAACAAAGGCCAGCATACACAGGTGGGCCTCAGGACCAGGTTTGGGAACCGCTGATTCAGGGGGTGGTCCGTAAGACTATATGGGGTTCAGTTCAAAGCGGAGGCAAAGATAAAACAGTGTTGTAGAACAGCAGTTGGCTGAATAAGCAAAAGCACACAAACGAGGCCAGTAAAATCACACCAGAGCAGAAGAGAATGGGTTCCTCAGCAGAGCACCAAGCAGAGACTTTTGCACAGAGCGATCCTGTACACTGCATTTTGTATTAGTGTCAATGTTTGTTCTCAGGATCTAGTGGTCATATTAAATGGGTATGAACACAGCAGAAAGGCAAGGAAACAACATATTTCCCAATGTGCCTCAAAAATGGACCTTGCAATCTGATTTGTTCAGAATTAAAGATTCAGATAACTCTGGTAAAGCACAAGCTCAAGGAGCCCTTCACATATAAAACTTCAACAAAATGTAAATAATTGTTAACTCCAGCACACAAGAGTTACAGGAGGTGAACGACAGAAACTGAGACGAGACCGTTTTCTAAGAAGAAAAGGTTCTAGGGGTTTTCTAGTGCCATCAGACTCCCCGGGTATGCGCTCTCCTCAGGTGGCAATATTTATGCCAATCATTACCAAATGGTACTGCTGAGAAATATTTTACAACTCATGCGAAAGAATTTCCATACTGCTGAGAGGGAAGTCGGTCGCATGATTCCTAATTCAAAGAGCACAAGTCGATGACCTCAATCAACTCAACACAAGTTGACTGACCCAGAGGAATTAAGTATTTTTGCATTCCCACAGGGTTCCACGTGGTGGCAGACATATAAGCCATATTGACCACATTACTGTTTCTTTTTTGTTCATCACCTGCAAATTCTTCATGGAACTAAAATTAAAATTACTGAAGTATGAATGCAAAACGCCCATGCATATGAGCTCTTGCTGTAAATTTGATCAAAAATCAACAAACCAATGAGTGTCCACCATTTTCCTGAATGTACAATGCAGCCGATTGCACCACTTCATAAATGCAGCCGATTGCACCACTTCATAAATGCAAAATCTAAGGCATGCAAGCTACATATAAGGCTATCTATTCAACCAGCATGCCAAATACTCCACACCAATGTCCACCTGGCCCACTTGATGAAATATGGCAAGTGGTTGAGGAGATTGAATGTATAGAAGGAATATCTGGTTATCTCTGTCACCGTCCACACGACCAGGAAAAGGAGAACACTTTCTTCATTCTGGATCTTCCAATAAAAGTCAACAAGAAAAAGAAAATACACAGAAGAAAGGCTAAAGGCAAACAGAAAGCGTGCATGGTGATGCACAGGGCAGACTGATTGTATGTGTATTACTCTAAAAGGCAATGACCTCCTCTTAGGCCATGAGCCAGACCCTGAAATTTTGGCCACCGGTACCATCTGAGGGGAATAATGGTCATTGTAATTTTTGGTAGGGTATACATCTCTAAAGTCAGACAATATGTGATAGCATTGCATTGGTGGTAGCTTGAGGTGTGTTATGAGCCATTTAGTAACCCCACCCCAAAATGAACTTTTCTGAAACTGGCATAAGACAGAAGAAGATATCCTATTTAAAACTAATATTTCTCTCTTATTATTGGCTATATCTTCTTGAAAATTATTAGGCATGTAGCTCATGTTATTTGCTTTTCAAAACAGTTGTTAAAAGTAGCCTAGAGCCCCGCTTCGTACCAGCCGGCAGTGGTCGGCAGCTTTTTCAGAGTAGCGCACAATTGGCTATAGCGCTACAGGGTTGCAAATTGGGAAGGACTGCCGGAAGGGATTACAATAGTTGCCTTGTTCGTTGCTCAAAGCGCCTCCTGTTGGCCAGACGGGCGCTCGTCAGGAAGATTCTAAGCCTGGTCATGTCCGGGTATCCTCCACCCTCGTTCTGAACTTGTGAAGATTCAACCAATGAGTGTATAAGAAGCGGTTGTTGACAGGCGCGTGCTTCGGAGGAGAGCCGCGAACTGTCTACACTCTCCTGAATTGGCAGCAAGGGGTCGCATACGAGCAAGCCTTGTACATAGTTCACCAATTGGGCATTCCAGATTCGGGTGGGATTGGAGATGCCAAATTTTTAATAAAAAAAAAAAAGTAGCCTAGAATTTGGTGTTTGCAATTACAGGCACTGATAGTCCAGTGCTGATACATTGCAGAACATATGATTTCATTTTTGCAAAAAGTGGTATGGAAGTGATATATCATATATATATATATATATATATATAGATATAACATATAGATATGTTATATCTATAATCCATTTGTTAATTAATGGATGCCATATTTAAGTAAATGAATTTGAAGAAAATTCAATCAATGAACTGAAGTAACAAGTTAAAGTTCAAGTTTGATGTACATTATGAGTGTTATTGTAAGCCTACCCCCAAAATTGCAACTAATAGTTTTTCTTTCATACAGGCTACAAATACATTGATAAAAACATCTTAAATGATTAGAAGGTTCATGATTTTATGTATGAATATAATTTATGGATATAATGTATAAATCACCATGTATAAATGTATAAATCTTGTATAAATATATTATTTTTGTCTATGGTACACTCACTGACACCCAATACCAGTGCAACTGCAGTATTTGCTTGTGCAAAATCCAGTGGTCCTGTAAATATCTTTATTAATAATCAACAGTAAAATTTAAGGAAGGAAATTTGAATATATGCAAACTCAAAAGTCCAATGATGGACTAGTCTTACTAAACTAGTTAACTAATAACTAGTCTCACTAAACTAGTTAATCGTCTGATTGCTAATCAAGCAAAGGGAAGGATTCTGCCTCACCAAACTAACCTCCGACTGCACGCCACTACAAGCAAGCCTTAAAACTTTCTCATTTAAGGAAGAATAAGATTGAATCTCCAGGGTTCAAACCCTAGACCTTCTGCTTGTGAGACAGACCCTCTAACCACTGGGCTACCCTGGTGTACCCTATTTACTTTCTATAAAGGTACGCATATAAAAAATGTGATAACACATAAAAAGCTACCACCAACGCAATGCTATCACATATTTTCTAACTCCAGGGTAGTATAACTTGCCAAAAATCACTATGAGAGTTATTCCCTCAGATGGTACCAACCAACCCTACTGGCTCATGGCCTATCTGTACCAGTCTGGTTATTTCACATTTCACATGTTATCTAGCACGTGAATTGAAAAGAAGCACCGTGCAAATTTAAAACTGCTGATTGTTTATATCGTCTAATTCCTACTTGAACATGCAATATTTCTTTTTCCTAACAAAGACTCCTTCACCTTGTCAGAAGTGTAGAGATGCAACAAGACCGATTCTGATATTGGCAATTTGGTCCAATACTAACTCAAATAGCTGAATTGGGTACTGGTGATAATTGGCCAATCCGGTATTAGATACCATTATTTCAATAAATAAAAATTCAGAACATTTATATCTCTGTATTTACTAGTTACATTTTGTTTTATAAAGTTATGAAAGCAATGTTTCATTCAAGCATGGTGTTGCCTTGCACATGAAAGAATGATCCCAGTCTTCACCACATAGTGAAGCATACAGCTTATTAGTAAAACACTGGTATCATATCGGTCCTAGGCATTGGCTGATTCCCAAAGCCCTGTTACAGGTATCAATACTGGTATCAGGACTGAAAAAGTCAGATTAGTGCATCCCTACAAAAGAGGTATCTGTTAGGCTGAGATGTGCCATTTTAAACAGGAATTTAAAAGATACATTACACATACTCTGGATAAGTCGGACAGTAAATTTCATAGATATATTTTCCCACAACTTTAGTTGAGATACAAAGATATCAGCTCTGAAGAAATTTGATATTTCTTACAGATGGCCTCAATCATCCGGACCGAAAATACAAGCAGCCTGGAAAAGACTTCATGACACTCTAAAAAGATCTCCATATCAGACCTTGTCATGATATAGGGTGGTAATCATTCATAAACTACTACTGACACATACTGCAACTAAGAGCATTGGCCAAAGCAATAATATATTAATGAGATAAACATATACTTACCAAAGACAGCTCATGGTAATGATAATCACTGATAATAATTAGAAATCTTTAAGCTAGACATTAGTCTAAAGAATGGTTAACAAATGTAAACCAAAGGCACAAAGTGCAACCCAAAATTTGATGTAAAAAATACATTTCAATTTGTACTGTAAATTTCTTCGGTGTTGGAATCACACAACTGTTTTGCTTCAACAATAATTATTGAGATATTTTAACAATGAAAGTCACCTGCTTAATGCTGTTAGTAACGAACCAAACCATGAATATTCGTGAACACACTTGGACCCCAGTCACGATCACAGAGGTGCGCACCATTCCTTGAAGAAGAATATATGCCACAGTTTAAATGCTGTCTTAATTGAAAACAGAATAATAATTTCAAAATTCATCAAATAATGATAGAATAATTCTTTACAACATAAGATGGGTATAGAACAAAAGAAAAGGAAAACTTCTCATAGCAACTTCTCATGTCCTGAGAACTGTTATAGGTACATACCAACTGCACAGTGGATAACCTGAAAAAATGAGACATCAAGTAAAAAATGAAATTAAACATTTCTGAACAGCATCAAAGCACGTATGTTTTAAATGTTACACATTTCGCTTGTCTCAAATTTTACTGTAAGCATTACGCATCTCCACAAATGAATCTTATCACATTAGCGTCACCAAGAGAAGCAACAGAAAGACAGAGAACACTTTGAGATGCTTGCTCAAGATTGAATGGCAGCTGTTATTCAGAAAAGCAAATGGACAGAAGCACAGAGTGCCAAACTGTATGATACCAGGATGGCAATCATACACCCTCTTAGGCGGAACCGAGCAATGCAAGTCGATATGTGCCCTGACTCTGGCTTAAGGCTTTGAACAGCCGCCGCTGCACACAGATTTGGAACTGCACGGTGCGGAACTGGACCTATGGCAGACTGAATGCCTGCCCTGCACAGGGTCTGAGTGAGTGACTCAGCACCAGATTATCTGGCCAGCCTAAATGCCAGTCACTGCTAAGTAACCACCTGGTTACAACCCATAAGTTACTTGGAAAAAAATCTGAGTACAAATGCCAATTCCCCTTGGATAAAACATGGGCATTTTTATTACATGGTGAATATTCTGTGGATGAATTATTGTCTATTTCACCTCTGACAAAATTCTGGGGACAAAACTTGGGATAGGGGGTGGACAGTGGTCTATGCTATGCATCTTAGATGCCACAAATCTGTTCCTTGTTATGAAAGAGCAACAATTTTAAATTACATTACCCTAAACAAGTAGATAATTAAACCACATAAAATAAGTTTCAAATGGATGAACATTACTGGACATGTTAAAAAAAAAGAGTCTCACCTCCACTAATGCAACTGTCTGGAAAAACTTCAGTGTCCTTGATATACTTCTGTACAGACCTATGTGTGTCCTTCTCTCCAAGTAAAATCGAAGCATCGCTATTGCCAGCACCAGCCATCTGTTGGGGAAAAAGTCTGCATTTTAGAAAATAAATACTGGTTCATGACAACGAACAAAACTGAGTGATTTGAAAAATTATCAATTGAATCTTCCCTGATCATTAGGATTAATTATCAGAATTCAGCAATGTTTCCTTTATTGCTCAGGCGGCTCCTCTTTTAGTTCTAATGCATCCTCCACTGAGGCTCACAGACAATAATTAAGTATGGCAGAAGCTGAAAGTATTTGCATGCTGGAGTAAGCTCACTACCCGCATAAACTAAGCCCAAGCAATTTCTAACAGTCCCTCTGGTTTGTTATTATACATGAAAAAGGATCCCCCCGTTGAAACTTAGACTCCATATCTACATATTCCATTTACATGGCAATAGCTTATATGACCTTCTGGACTGAGTGGTAATAAATCCATCATTACAACACTCAACTAAGTGAGAAAATGTAAACAATAGCATTCTTTCACACAGTGTTCCACTATTTATGTACTTCAACCCGTATAGTACTAATTATTACGAGCAATATACAAAGTCGATGCCAAGTGAGCTCAGGGGAAGAAGATTTGCCATTGAGGCCAATTTAATAGCTCTTGCTATAAAATAAACAATGTAATCATTCTACCCCTGCATAAGAAAAAACAGCAGAGCAATTCAACATCATTGTTGGTCACTATACATATTTTCACCATAGCTGTTTACAGGACAATGTTGCCATTTTAACAGGAAAGCATTGCTGTGTTACTGCTACACTATATGGCCAAAAGTATGGGGACATTTTGCTGAAATCTCATTAACAAATGTAGAAAATGGACGTTTTTAAATTCTAAATATCTAGCCTTTTAACTGAATTTGGAATTGACTGATTTGTATGGGCTAATAGGACAGACTGTCTGCTTTCATTTTATAGTATTTTCCAATAATTCTGCTCCACAATTTGGAAATTGTTGCCTTTCTGTAGCGCTTCTACCATATCTCTCTCGACTCCAGTTTGTTTCAATGGAGACTTTGGTAAGGGAGGGGATGAGCGATACACAAAAGGCAACAAAATCCTCATGGTAAAACTAATTTTATACTGAAATACCCTCAAACAGAAACAGTACCTCTGTCCTATCATGCCATACTGACCAATTCATTCCGACTTCGATTACAATGTAAGCCTTTCTCTATATAAGTTGATGAGGTTTCAGTAAAGTGTCCACTTACTTTTGGCCATTTGGTGTACTTTTCAACCCGGGAAAGGTGGTGTTTAGGTAGCATTTAAATTTTGAGTAAAGTCAACTTGAGCACACAAGTTAAAAACAGCTCTTCTTCATGCCTCGTTTTACTTCGCTTAAAATTTGAAGGTAGCCTGGAAACTAATGTTTGCAAGTTATACCATTTTAGTTTTCTTTTTTTCCCCACAGTCTCAGCCTTCTTCTACCTCATACTCACAACTCCTCCTGTACTCCAATGCAGTTAGTCAAGATTATTCCACACACACTCAGGTGTGTATTTATTGGCAGTTCTGGCACCTTCGATAAAATTAAGATTAAAGGCTGCATATAATACATTTACGTTCATCTTTTCATATTTTTCATTCTGTAAAATGAAAACCATAATATTATTTCCATCTCTACTCTAAGACTTTGAGGAAACACCCCTGGCAAAGATGATGGCCTTGACTATTTTACTATACTTTGTGATAAGGCAAGAGAGCATGTTAGGTCTAAGTCCAGAAATTGAGCCAGCCATTGCAGACCATGGATGTTTTTTCCCAATATAGCCATTTTTGGGTGGATTATGATGCATGTTTGCACCACTCGCACTCCTGGAAATCCGCTTTTGGCCAAGTCTCAGCCTCCTAAAAGATATCTGCCAAAATTTCCCAGTACTTACATTAATTACTCAATTCACCTAAACTAGTGACCTGAGACCACTGTCGGCAAAACATGCCAAGAAATTCAATGAGCCATCCATATTTGACTGTAAGTATAAGGGCCATTCTCAGTCACGTGTGTGACCAAAAATGTAACAAATAGTAGAAAAAATCTCCTCCAATTACAAAAGCATTGGAGGTTCATGATTGTGGACCTTGTATAAGAGTACTACTTATCCAAGTCTATCAAGTAAAAATGTTATTTGTTACATTAACTTTAACTACTTAAGGTCAGAGGTCAAATACGACTGGTCACGTGTGTGACTTCACACGGAAACAGGTTTTTCATAACTCTATTTGACTTCAAAAACTCTGTGAAGTTGAAAAATCTAGAATTTTCATAGTTTTGGGGTATGGAGAATAGCAAGGAATAAATTTGATACCTTTCATTAATTTTCAAAGTATTTCTTTATTTGATGACATCTGGTCATGTGTGTGACATTTTGGTTCACTTCTCAAAGAATGGCCCATAAGGTACTAATACATATTCCTCTTTTGCTACCAAACATGGAGAGGGTGTGTACCATTAGGTAC